AGAGTTTCCCAGGCAGAGACTGCAATTTCCATGGCTTCTTGCCTCCAGTTATTCCATGATCTAGTTCTAACCAGTGGTATGTGAGCAGAAGGGATGTGTGTGGTCAAGGTGGTTAGGCAACTGCTCTGTCTCTTTCATCCTTGTTTCCTCTCCTAACTGGATGCTGAGCAACTGACAGGGAGGGTGGAGCCATAAGATGGGACATGCCTGGGCTCTTAAATCCCTCTGTGGGTAAAACCCCACCCACCAGCCACCCTGGGTTGATCATCTCAGTGAGAAATAGGTTCTGTTTGGTTGAAATGTTTTTGTTATAGCAGTTAGAATTACCTTCCCTAACACAAAAATTTAAGTATGTATGCCCTCAATAAATTTTTGATAAAAAAATAAGACATCTTTGTCATTTGTTAGTACCTTTGGAGTTTTAAAATAAAAGCCAGTAGAGGCTGAGAAGATTTCCAGTTATGGAAATCTGAAAAGTGGAGGACATGAATGGATGGGGGGTGGCCTGATACTGACTTGATCCCACCCCAAATCATATGAGGTTTATTGTACCATTCGGTGCTCATCCTTACTTAAGGGATTGATGCACTTCATTGAATCCCAAGGTCATGGAGCAGATACCATATCAATTCTGAGTCCTCTGCACTATTTATCAGCCCTAATCTCCACAGTGAACCTACATTCATGAGGAGGGAAACAGATAATAAATCAAACAAATAAGCAAAGCATATGATATATTTGATAGTGTTGATTGTCATGGATAAAATAAAGCAAGAAGGGAGTGTGGGAGCTTAGGAGTCATGTTCAGTTTTAAATAAGATGGTTAAGGAATGTGTAAAGAGAAGATGACATCGGAGCAAAGTCTTGAATACAGCGAGGGAGCAAGCCATGACTTCCAGACAGAGGGAACAGTGGTACAAAGACCCTGACGTAGAAACATGCCAGGTGCATTAAGGAATAGCAAAGAGATTAATGTGCTTGGAGAAGGCTAGGCAAAGGGAAGAGTGACAAGGAAGAGGCCAGAGAGGTAATGGAGTGGGACTAGATTGTATGGAGGTCTGAGGACTAGTCAAAGAACATAATGGGGGATATGAAAGAGTTCAAGACCAGAGATAATTGGCTGCTCTTATTGACTTCAGCAGTGAATGCCAGCACAATGCCCCAAAGACAGATAGGTCCATTTTCACTTCAGCAGATATCAGTTCAGGACCTAGATATAGTCCCACAGCAGGAACCAGCAAGAACTCAGATGGTGAATGGGATCCAAGATCCCCCCATCCTCCCAACACTTGCCATAATGAAGTCACATCAGTTCCTATGTACCCCAAGATGACACTTCCTGTAGGAGCAAAGAGGGAGGAAGTTTGAAAGACTGAGCATTTACCAGACATAGATTGTTTAATCTGGAAGAGATTGAGTTATAAGGATAAGAAAATAAAGATGCTATATATTTTTTGCACATCTTAGTTTTACTGGATTAGATTTATGGTATCCCACAGGTTCCTTGGGCCTTGTTCACTTGTTTTCTTTTAATTGGTGATGGTTAAATTTTATTTTATTATTATTTTATTGAAATATAGTTGACTTACAATATTATATTGTTTCAGTTGTAAAATGCAGTAATTTGATATTTTTATAGATTATACTCCAAACAAAGTTATTATAAAATATTGACTATATTCCCTGTGCTGTACAGAAATAAGTGTTGGAGAGACTATGGAGAAAAGGGAACCCTCCTACATTGTTGGTAGGAATGTAAATTGATACAGCCACTATGGAGAACAGTATGGAGGTTCCTCAAAAAATTGAAAATAGAACTACCATAGGATTCATCAACTCACTC